TCTGTCATTCCCCACCTGGTCTATTCTCCTCTAACACTGTGCTTACCCCAATTACAGATGCTAACACCCTATATTGCAACACATATCTGTTCATCTTTCCAACTAGATCATGACTTCCTGAGAGCAGGGGTCATGTCCATCCTATTAATCTGTGAACAGTGCTCAGGACATAGTAGAAATTCTATAAATATTCATTAACTCCCTTTATTCTCCCTGTTCCAGCTCCTGAGAGTAACTGAGATTTCTAAAAGTCAGTTATGATGCCTGTCAGTCATGTGAAGTAGATAACCTTCCATTCTCTCAATAAAACTTTAGCTAAATCTTCACATAACAAGTAAAGTGTGACTCTTTCTTGGTTAGAAAAAGATGATTTAGCAGAATGGGAATATAAGCTCCTGGCAGCCAATCAAAAGAATGTTGTCCTCTTAAAAACTTTGGAATTAAAAGTGGAAAGAGCACTAGCTGGTTTGGCTCAGTGGATAGTCTTGGCCTGCAGACTGAAGGGTCCCAGGTTCGATTCCAGTCCAGTACACATGCCCTGATTTTGGGCTCGATCCCCAGTAGGGGGCGTGCAGGAGGCAGCCAATCAATGATTCGCTCTCATCATTGATGTTCCTATCTCTCTCTCCTTCTCCCTTCCTCTCTGAAATCAATAAAAATAAATAAAAATGAAAGTGGAAAGAACTCAGAAAACCACAGTGGAGCGTTACCAGATTTTAGAAAATTTAGTACTTCAATTGTATCCCCTTTATTAGTGGAAAACAGAGATAAATATGGCTAATGGCAAAAACTGTATGTGCAAAAGAAAGCAAAGCACCTCTAGGACTTCATTCCTACTTTGGTTATCAAAGGAATAGGATTTCACTAAGGCAATAAGTCCTTGGTATGAGGAGCAAGTAACATGGGATGGGGATAATCATTTTCATAATGAGAGGGTCAATTAAATCTAACAAGAGAAAATGACAAGAGAAATAAGCATAAATGTTAGCCTTAAAGGGGAAAAAGGACAAAATATCTGACCTTAGAAAATGAACAGAGATGAACCCTGTGAAAGCCCCAAATAAGGAGGGGATAAAATAGATCATGATTCTCAAGTGGCCAAGCAGAACCTTCTGGAATTGATACCATTTGGTGGACAGGAACAAGTGGACAGCTAGCAAATTAAAAATATGCTTCCATTAAATTGTTCATAAAAAGCAGGTGAGGTGAGGGAATAAAAAGAACGAGGAACATGGTTTGAATCCACTTGTCTCTATGACATACAGGATATATCAATTAGATAATGAATTCTTTTCATTTCTTAAATAATTTTTTAAAAATATATTTTATTGATTTTTTACAGAGAGGAAGGGAGAGGGATAGAGAGTTAGAAACATCGATGAGAGAGAAACATCAATCAGCTGCCTCCTGCACACTCCCCACTGGGGATGTGCCCGCAACCAAGGTACATGCCCTTGACCAGAATCGAACCTGGGACCCTTGAGTCCATAGGCCAAGAACTCCCAATTTTGGGTACAGTGAAGAAGAAAACTTTATTCGGCGCAAAACAGTTCAATTGTGATACAGCACGGCTGTGAAAGCGGCAGAGCTGTAGAGCAGCTCTGGGGCCAGGCAGTTACACGCTTAGCATTGCGCTGACCTACTCTGGTCCAGGATGGTCTGCTTCACTCTGCTCTGGGGAGACATCTTCAGTGTTTCAACTCAGCCAGGAAAACAGTCTTTAATGGAAAGTGCCCTCCTATAGCCACAAGGGAACTGGCTTTTATGGACAGAAGCCTGCGTCCTTGGCCCCTGATTGGTCCATCCTCATGCAAATGAGGACTCCGAATACTCCCAGTTTGATTGGTCCAGAGGCACTGTCCTGATTGGTCAGACTAGAGCCATTTTGATTGGTTAAAGCTGTGCAGCTTCAACTGGATGGGGAAAGCCTCAGGCCTAATGGTTGAAATAGGATTCCAGGAACTCCTTTGTAAGGGCTGGCTCAGATGACAGAAACATAGTGCAGTTTAATGGCAGAGGCTTCTCTGCAGGAGTGCAGTTTGTCTGGGAGGCCCCTGTGCAGAAATGGCCGCTGGGCTCTGCTTTTTTTATTTAAGCTCAGTTAGTCACCAGGAGCCCTTCTTAGTAGGTGTCCTTTTAGTTTTCAGGGCTCACAATACTGATGTTATTACATTTTCATTATTGTTGGGATTTTTGTCCTAAAAATTACTAATGGTTAATGATAAAGCTGTGATTTTAGAATTTTTCTTTTCTTTATTTATATTATCAAAAGTTTCTACAGTGAACATATATAACTATTGTAATGAGGAAAAATTCCCTCTATCCCTCTCCCTCCTCCAAAAAATAAAAAATTCTAAATAGAATATTATCTAAAAATTTGGTGTATTTGAACTGTTGTGGTATGACTTTTTGAAAAATTTGATCTCACCAACTCAAATCATTTCTAAGATGATCTCTAAGGTATTAGACTCTTCAGAAGAGCATCGGATTCAGACTCTAGAGGACATAGTTCTAGCAGTAGTGGGGGCTTTAATAACCCCTTCGCTCTTCACAGCGGTAAACTTCTATTGTTATTACTTGACAATTAGTAATTGAGTATGGTTAGATTTGATTTTAATCAATTTAGTCACTGTTATGTTATTACCAATTTCTTGACTGAAAGAACAGGCACTAACTCAGTTCAGATTTTATTTAAGTGGTTTTATTTTTAAGGACCGAGAGAACTCACTATTCAATCCAGCCTCTAGGGAGCAGGTGGTGGGAGCTGGTAAGCTGTCAGGCTCCAGGTCATGCTCCATAAATCCTAGAGCCACATGGCCTCTTTTCTTTGCTATTTTCTGAATATCCGCCCCATTCTTATCTCCACAGGCCAGATCCTTTCACTTACTCATAATTTCTGCTTTTCTATGATGTTGGCCTGCACATGGCTTTTTCTAGGCAATAAACTGACTCCAAGCCCAATGCTACCAATAACAGATAGGCTCCCGGCAGTGAACACATCTAACTCTCAGAGAGCCAATTCCACGTTGGTTCCGAGAGAAGCCAGCGATTGTCTCAGCTTGGGTGAGGTGGGCATCGCTGTTCCCGTCTGCCATGGTAGAGGAACCGGATGCATCAGATCAACATGGCCACCTACACTCACCTCTTCTCCAGAGGCTTTGCAGGGGATCATTTCCAGAGAGGGACTTGTGCTATCAAGTATCCAAAATATATGCATTATCTTTTGCTAAGCAACTTTGGACATATGATGATACTTAGTAATGGGATGAAATGGTATTGTGCAGTTCTCCTTGCTTCTTTCCCAGCCCTCTCACCAAGCGCCCTGTTGCTCTTTGCTTTGGCTGCCAAGAGCCTCCATCCCAGACTTTCCCTCACAGGTAATAACCCAGCTCCACAAGCATCGCATGCCTCTCCGCCCACAGTCTCATTTCTACAGCGGCCTCCCGTTTCCTGGCTGAAACAGAACAACGAAAGTCCTCAGGACTGATAAAGTGACTGTACAGGAAGCCATTCATCCTCTCAGTGACTTCATTTACTTATCTCTAAAGTGACAGAGTTTGGATTAATTGACTTCTAAGTTGTTTTCTGGGATAACTTTCTAACTTCCAAAAATAAAAGTTGAGGCTATCTGCACTTTTAAAGAGCATTTTAAATAATAACAGTTAACATCCATATAGTGCTTATTATATGCCAGACACTGTTCTAAGAGCTTTACTTATACTAATTTACCTAATCATTACAGCAACCTATATAAGAGAGTTGCTCATTAGGATCACACTAACTGTGGTAACAAATAAATGCTGAAAATATGTATCTTAAACAAAATTGAGTTTATATCTCACTCAATCACAAGCCAGTGTGGGTGTCCCTGGTCTGTGGGTGACTTTCTTCCATTGGGTGATTCAGGACGCCAGGTGTTGCTTTTTTTCTCCTTTGTGGCTCTGCCATCTGGAGCTCACTGTCACCTGCTTTTAGCTACAGAAGAAAAAGGAGACCACGGACAAGCTACCCACATATTAAAGATTCTGGCCAGAAGGGACACACCTCACTTCCACTCATACTTCATTGGTAAGAGCAAGTTTCAAGGCAACAGCTGGATGCAAAAGAGATAAAGAAATATTGTCTCAAATGGGACAGTGGTCAGAAAAAAATAGTTTTCATTAATCCTAAACTACACTCTTTTTTTTTCTCTTCACACTGTAACATCTCTTTGATAGGAATGCACCATTCAATTAAGGACAAGTATTCAGTGTAAATTCATATTCAGTTGGCAGCATTTTTCTATTTTAGTAATACATAAAATTGTGTATTTGACAACCAAAGAAAACCTAGCTTAGATGAAATTTGGTGTATAATATGGCAAAAGGAACAAAATGTTGGCTCTTTCTCAATCTGCCATTCATTTCACTAAATATTCATACATATCTTTTTTTTCTCCCTCACCGTAAGGACACATATTATAGTCCAATCCAGTTCAAGCACATGGCTCAAAGTCCAGCACCTTTGGGTGATATAAAGTCTTCCCATTTAAAGCTCTTCTCAGTATGATAATATATAAACATATAGAGAAGTTATCTGCACTTTTTATTATAGGATGATAAAACAGGGACAAGATAAGCATAATAAAAACGATTAAGAAAGTAAAGAACTGGGGATATATAACAGCCATGGTCCATTGTAGGAATGAACTCTGCTTTTTAGTTGTCATAGACATAGTTTTAAAATGCTTTGCCAATGCATAACTTGGGTCTCCATCTTTCTAGCACCCAACATCTGTTTCTTTGCCATCTGCTGCCCAAATGTTCAGCCAAATACATTTACTTCAGGTTTTTATTATAGCAGCATTTCCTTCAAAGGATCAATTTCTGTATTAACTAGGGTATTGATAGGGGAAGTAAATAATAGACCCCAGAATATATGTAGCATAAACATAGTAGAGATTTATTTCTCATTTATTTAATCTTCTAGGGTAAGTGTTCCCCGTTAATAGGCAGCTTTCCTCCAGGCTGTATGTAGTTCAGGGATCCAGCTCTTGCCACCTTATGGTTAGTCTCCTTCCTAGGGCCTCATCTTCAAATGAATCCTGTTGATGGACAGAGAAAGATGATGGAGGACATACACCTGCTTCTTAAATCCTGACCAGAAAATGCCACACAGTACGTCTGCTCACCTTCCACCAGTTAGCATTTGAGTCCTTGTTGGGGTAGCTGCTTCCAGTGACAGCTCAGGTCTCGGAGGGGAAGCACACATTTTGGCAGACAACTAGCCGTTGTGATACAAGAAGATGGGGATTCAGTCCTGAAAAAAAGAAACTTAGTGGCAAGGGAGAAATTTAAATAAGATTATTAAGAAGTTCTTTATAGGGTGCCTCAGATCATAACATAGCACTAACCACCAATCCTGCCTTCTAAGTCTGTGTCTGTGTGTTATTTTAAGATATTAGATGAACTATCTATGACAAAAATGGAATAAAAAGCAAGAATCGATGATAGATGTATATAGATAAAGATATAGGTATAGATATAGATGTAGATAATAGATATAGATATAAATACAGATATAAACCTATAATAATAAAAGGGTAATATGCTAATTAAACCGGGAGACCAGACATCCTCCTACCATCTGACTTCCTTCCGGGCAAAACCACAGTGGTGGGGGTCGAGGCAGAGGCGGTTAGGGGCAATCAGGCCATCAGGGGAGGGCAGTTGGGGGCCCTGAGGCCAGCAGGGGAGCAGTTAGGCAGCGATCAAGCCAGTAGGCAGGCAAGTGGTTAGGAGCCAGGGGTCCCAGATTGGAGAGGGTGCAGGCTGGGCTGAATTTCGTGCACCGGGCCTCTAGTAGAGATATAAATATAGACATAAATATAGATATAAATATATATTTTTAAGTAGCCAGCAATGGTAATAATAACCATATAGTAGAAGCCGCTTGGCTGTGTGTGTGTGTGTGGTTTCTATATACTAGGCACTGTGTTGAACTCTTTTCAAGCATTATTTTATTTAAATCTCACTAACATTCGCTCAATTTTATGGACATAGAAGCTTAGCTTAAATAACCTGCTGAGATAACACCTAGAAGTGCCTCGTTCCAGGACCTAGTTCCTATTCATACACTAGTTAGCTTTCCAACTTAAAATTCATAAACCCTTAGGACAGTGGTTCTCAGCCTGTGGGTCGCGACCCCTTTGGCGGTCGAACGACCCTTTCACAGGGGTCGCCTAAGACCATCCTGCATATCAGATATTTACATTACGATTCATAACAGTAGCAACATTACAGTTATGAAGTAGCAATGCAAATAATTTTATGGTTACGTCACAACATGAGGAACTGTATTTAAAGGGCCAGAAGGTTGAGAACCACTGCCCTAGGATTTCTTGAAGAAATACTTGAGAAGAACTGATGTAGAAGTTAATGAAGATGTAATCATAACATAAATATAAATGAATTACCTGAAACTACATGCCAGTCCCTGGTTAAAAGGTTATCAAGTGATTTGGTACACGCTTGTAAAAATGCATACAAAAATTTTATGCCATGAAAATTATTAAAATTAAATATTCTTATAGAGAACTGGCAGTTTGAGAAATAGTTTCCAATCCCATAATGTGTGGATACCTACCTTTCTCAGTAATGCTATCTGCTGCTGCCTCACAGAAACTCTAACTTGCTGGGAGGGTTCTTTCCTCCTCATTAATATCAGTGGTCCGTGGGCCTTAAAGTGTCATTGTTAGTTAATTCCACTAAAACACTGAAACGTGAAGATTCTCAAGGTCCAGTTACAGGGAGGAAATGACAGGTCCTACTCCTGAGTGACCTAACGTGACAAGAGAAAGAATTCAGCCAGCCGGCTGGCCAGGGTTTAACCAGAAATAAAACGTGACGGTTCTTGGATGGAAGACAGAGAGGAACGCCGACAGAGGAGTGCAGGTCCAGGGAAGGCTGGCCTGCGGGAACAGCCAAAGGCTCTCCTTTGCAGGAAACTTCTAAGAAAGATGTGCAGTGGGATAAGGCAGGATCTTGTGAATATTGCTTGGCTCTACTGTCCTTTTAAGGCACTTCCTCCTTTATTTTTTATTTTTTATTGTTTAGCATCCATTCCTTTCCTTGGGCTTCTGAACCTCAACTCTTTCTTTGACTGTTGAGCTTTCTCCTAGTTAGACTGGTCTGTGAATCAACATTGCATAGAGTACATGGAAGAACTAAAATTTTGTCTCTAAAGGAACAGAGGAGCAGACTTTACATTGTCTGGAGCAGGGGTCCTCAAACTACGGCCCGTGGGCCACATGCAAATACAAATATTGTATTTGTTCCCGTTTTGTTTTTTTACTTCAAAATAAGATATGTGCAGTGTGCATAGGAATTTGTTCATAGTTTTTTTTAAACTATAGTCGGTCCCTCCAACGGTCTGAGGGACAGTGAACTGGCCCCCTGTTTAAAAAGTTTGAGGACCCCTGATCTGGAGGCTGCCAACCCCAGGACCAATCCACACACCAGAGTCAGCGGTCACAGGAGAGCGTGTGTGCTCAACTGATTGTGATGCTAAGAGTCTGGTAGCAAAGTACTTGGTCATTTTATGTCAGAGGCAGGAGGAAGAAGTTGTACCTTGCTCTTACAATAAACTCCAGAGTGTTCCCTAGGAGACTGGTAGCCAAATAAACAAACACAAATGATGAGGAACCAATTGAAGGAATGTACCCAGGGAGAGCTTGTTAGCTTTAGAACACATTATTGAAGAACCATGAAATTTTATTTTTATTTATTTTTTATTGAATGTATTGGGGTGGCATTGGTTAACAAAATTATATAAGCTTCAGGTGTACAATTCTATACTATATCGTCTGTATATTGTATTGTGTGTTCACCACCCAAAGTCAAGTCTCCTCCATCATTCTTTATCCCCGCTTTACCTTCTTCTACCTCCCTAGAGTCATGACATTTTAGAACTGCAAGGAACTGAAAGGTCCCATCTCATCTAAAGGTCACAAACGGGCAGCCTAGGCCAAATCTGGCCTGCAGATGGGATGTGCCCTGTCTGGTTCATTATATGTATTAGTTGTCCACATTTAAAACAAGGAGAGCTCACATTTTTAAAAAAAATCTAGATTCCTGATCACTCTTGGAAAATCAGATTATCTGACAACGGTTTCCCCACAGCTGTAACTAGAGCCCCAGCAGCAACTATGTCCTTTGGCTATGGCATGCATTTCCCAGTTTCCCACAGTCTCTGCTTCAATTGTTTACATAACCTGCCTGGACTCCGTTGCCAGGTTTTGAGTTTGCAACTCTTGCTGGACCAACCTGTTCATGTCTTATGGTTGAGGAAGTGAGGCCCGGAGAAGTCAAGTGACTTGCCCATCCACACCACTTTTTCTCATATAACTCACACGCTGGTGCTCTTTCCATATATTCTTTTCTCTATCCCATACGTTTCCCCTAAGACATTTGGAAAGTAAGCATGCAGGCTGAGGAAATCATGTTCCAAGCAGGAAGAGACAAAGATGATGTCAACCAGAAAATTAGTTTGAGGCTCACTAACGGGAACCCAAGAGACCTGGATAGGAAGTTATTAATGGGAGGAAGTGCAAGGAGGAGAGAGATAGCCTGTCAAATAAGAACAAATGAGAGAGGCACATGTGAAGAGCTAAGGTAAGGTGAGGAGGAGCCATGGAGGCACCGAAGTGATCTGCTCCCATTGAGATGTTAGCCTTGATGGAAAGCAGCAGAGGACAGACAGGAGGAGGCTGCCAAAAAGAGACTCTAAAATCAAAACTGATCAGAAACATGGTTAGAAATTATAAGAGATTTCTTCTTCAGATTTATTTTGACAAAATAAAGATGTGTGAAGGAAAGCAGAGAAAGCTTCTCAGGGTTGCCTGAGAAGTTATTAATAGAAGGAGGTCAAACTAAGGATCTAAAAGGAAAAAAGGGAATAGAAAGAAAAAGAAAAAAGAAACTTTCTAAATGCAAATGGGAATTTTATCAAGAATTTATTGTTTAAGAGGTTGGTAGAAGTTTTTCTAGAAAGAAAAATGCACCAAGACTAGGGCACAGGACTCTCATATTTATTGACTTCAGAGAGGAAGGGAGAGATAGAAACATTAATGATGAGTGAGAATCATTGGTCGGCTGCCTCCTGCATGCCCCACACTGGGGATCGTGCCTACAACCCAGGCATATGCCCTAACCAGGAATGGAACCATAGGTCCACACAACCACTGAGCCACTCCGGCGGGGCCACAGGACACTTTTTCTTAGGGAGAGGGAGGATCTCAGAGGAGGCTCTCAGGGCTGGTTCTGCTGGAAGATTATAGAATTCATACCGAACACTATTGCGTGAATTCACTGTAAAGATTAGTAGAGAGAAGTAGCAGAGTGATTTTTGAGATCCTGACTGGTGCCAAAGCAAAAGTTGATTAAGCCTTAAAAGAAACAATGGATAATTAGCAAGTGAAAGTCAGAAAGCCTGGGGGCTGGTCTTGGCTCAGCAGTTCTCAACCTGTGGGTCGAGACCCCTTTGGGGGTCGAACGACCCTTTCACAGGGGTCACCTAAGACCATCAGAAAACACATATATAATTACATATCGTGTTTGTGATTAATCACTATGCTTTAATTATGTTCAATTTGTAACAATGAAAATACATCCTGCATATCAGATATTTACATTACGGTTCATAACAGTAGCAAAATTACAGTTATGAAGTAGCAACGAAAATAATTTTATGGTTGGGGGTCACCACAACATGAGGAACAGTATTGAAGGGTCGCGGCATTAGGAAGGTTGAGAACCACTGTTCTAATGGGTTGTATCACTTTGGGCCAAACACTTCAGTTTTCTAAGGCTCTGTTTCCTCAAGTGTGAAGTGAGGGGCTTGGGCTGATTCTCAAAGTGTTATCCCCAGATCAGCAGCATCAACATCACAAATCTTGTTGAAATACAAATTCTTAGGCCCCATCCCAGACCTACTGAGTCAGAAATGGGGTGAGACTCTGCAATCTACCTTGTAATTAACAAGACCTCTGGGTGAGAAAGGTGCTGAGCGAGACATGGTCCAGATGATCTCTCTGATCCTTATAGCTCTAAACACTGTAACTCTAAGTGAAAGATGAAAGAGTGCTGAGTTACCCTAGTAGCTGGCATAAAATATTTTTATATTCAATAGGACAAGACATGCTTATTTGTCTTGAATTATGCAAATGTTTGGTTTACCGTTTGATTTTATGAGGCATGAGAACACCATACACAGGCAAGGAGCACTTCAACAATGAAATGAAGCAGAGCTGAAGACTACAC